ATGTCAACACCTGCCAAGCACGTCAACACCTGCCACATCAACACCTGATAATGGCAAATACCACCTGCTACACATAAACACCTGTCACATGTTAAAACCTGTCACAAGTTAATAACCGCCACACGTCAACACCTGCCACACGTTAATACCTGCCAGACGTCAACACCTGCCACAAGATAATACCTGCCAAACGTTAACACCTGCCACAAGTCAACACCTTCCACAAGTCAACACCTGTCACACGTCAACACCTGTCACACGTCAACACCTGCCACACATAAACACCTGTCACATGTTAAAACCTGTCACAAGTTAATAACCGCCACACGTCAACACCTGCCACACATCAACACGTGATACGTCAACACCTGCCACATAAACACCTGTCACATGTTAAAACCTGTCACAAGTTAATGCCTGACACACGTCATCACCTGCCAAACGTCAACACCTGCCAAACATCAACACCTAACACACGTCAACACCTGTCACATGTTAACACCTTCCACTAATTAACATCTGCCACACATCATCACTTGCCAATAATAAACACCTGCCACACATCAACATTTGCCACATGTCAACATCTGCCACACGTTAACACCTGCCACAAGTCAAAACCTGCCACACATCAACACCTGCCACACGTCAAAACCTGCCGAAAGTCAACACCTGCAACCCGTCAACACCTGCCACATGTCAACACCTGTTACACATCAACACCTGGCACACGTTAACACCTGCCACACATTAACACTTGCAACATGTCAGCAACCTGCCACGCAACACCTTCCAAACATCAACACATACCACACATCATCACCTGCCAAACGTCAACACCTGCCACACGTCAACACCTGCCACACGTTAACACCTGCCAAACATCAACACATACCACACGTCAACACCTGCCACACGTCAACACCTGCCCCACGTTACCACCTGCCAAACGTTGTCAAAACCAACCACGCATCAACACCTGCCACGTCAACACCAGCCAAGTCAACAACCAGCCATACGTCATAACTTGCCAATAATCAACACTTGCCACACGTCAACACCTGCTATACATCAACACCCACCACACATCAAAACCTGCCACAAGTTAACACCTGCCAAACGTCAACACCTGAAACACGTCAACACTTGCCACACGTCAACACCTGCCACACGTCAACACCTGCCACACGTCAACACTTGCCACACGTCAACACCTGCCACATGTCAACACCTGCCACACGTCACTTGCACACGTCAACACCAGCCACGTTAACACCTGCCAAACATCAACACATACCAAACGTCAACACCTGCCACACGTCAACACCTGCCATAATTACCACCTGCTAAACGTATGAAAACCTGCACATCAACGCCTGCTATACATCAACACCTGCTACATGTCAGCACCTGCTACACATCAATCACGTGCCACACGTTAACACCTGCCAGACGTCAACACCTGCCACACGTCAACACGTGCCACATCAACACCTCACACGTCAGCACCTGCCACGTGAACACCTGCCACACATCAACACCTGCCACATGTTAATACCTGCCAGACGTCACCGCCACAAGTTAATACCTGCCACATATTAACATCTGCCACACGTCAACACCTGCCACATGTCAACACCTGCCACACGTCAACACCTGCCACACGTCAACACCTGCCACAAGTCAACACCTGCCACAAGTCAACACCTGCCAAACATCAACACCTGCCACAAATAACACCTGCTACAACAACACCTGCTACACGACAACACCTGCCACACGTCACACCTGAACCGTCAACACCTGCCACATCATCACCTGACACACGTCATCACCTGCCAATCAATCAATGCCACACGTCAACACCTGCCACGTCGGCGTGCCACACGCTAACACCTGTCAAACATCAACACCTGCCCCGTCAGCACCTGCCACGTCAACACCTGCCACACATCAACACCTGCCACATGTTAACACCTGCCAGACGTCACCACTTGCCAGAAGTTAATACGCACACGTTAACATCTGCCACACGTCAACACCTGCCACATGTCAACACCTCACCTTCAACACCCTGCCACACGTTAACACCTGCCAAAGTCAACACCTGCCACAGGTCAACACCTGCCAAACGTCAACACCCTGCCAAAATAACACCTGCTACGACAACACCTGCTACACAACACCTGCCCACGTCACACCTGAACCGTCAACACCTGCCACACACCATCACGACACCGTCATCACGCCAATCAATCAATGCCACATGTCAACACCAAATGCCCCACACATCAACTGATACGTCAATACCTGCCACACATAAACACCTGTCACATGTTAACACCTGTCAAGTTAATACCTGCCCGTCAACACCTGCCACAAGTCAACACCTGACACGTCAACACCTGTCACACGTTAACACCTTCCAATAATTAACACCTGCCACACGTCAACACCTGCCACACGTCAGCACCTGCCACACGCTAACACCTGCCAAACATCAACACCTGCCACACGTCAGCACCTGCCACACGTCAACACCTGCCACACATCAACACCTGCCACATCACACCTGCCACAGTTAATACCTGCCAGACGTCACTCTCGCCTGAGTTAATACCTGCCACACGTCAACACCTGCCACAAGTCAACACCTGACACACGTCAACACTTACACGTTAACACCTTCCAATAATTAACACCACACGTCAACACCTGCCACACGTCAGCACCTGCCACACGCTCAACACCTGCCAAACATCAACACCTGCCACACGTCAGCACCTGCCACACGTCAACACCTATCAACACCTGCCACACGTTAATACCTGCCAGACGTCACTACTTGCCACACAAGTTAATACCTGCCACCGTTAACATCTGCCACATCAACACTTGGCACACGTCAACACCTGCAACACGTTAACACCTGCACAAGTCAACACCTGCCACAATTCACCACCTGCCAAACATCAACACCTGCACAATTCAACACCTGCCAAACATCAACACCTGCCACAATTAACACCTGCTACACGACAACACCTGCCACATTACACCTGGAACCGTCAACACCTATCACATCATCACCTGCACGTCATCACCTGCCAATAATCAATAAATGCCACATGTCAACACCTGCTACACGTCAACACCTGCCACATCAACACTGGATACGTCAATACCTGCCACACATAACCACGCTCATGTTAACACCTGCAAGTTAATACCCCACACGTCATCTGCCACAAGTCCACCTGACATCAACACCTGTCACGTTAACACCTGCCACACGTTAACACCTGTCACGTACCTATAATTAACACCTGCCACATGTCATCACCTGCCAATAATTAACACTTGCCACATGTCAACTCCTACACGTCAACACCGGCCACACGTCAACACCTGCGACACGTCAACACCTGCCACATGTCAACACCTGCCACACGTTAACACCTGCCACATGGTAATACCTGCCACATGTGAACAACTGCCACATGTCAACACCTGCGTCAACACCTGCTACACAATAAACACATGTTCTTGGCGTCACCACCAGCCGCGCGATCAACACCTGCTACACGTCAACACTTGCTACACATCAACACCTACCCATTAACATCTGCCGTCAACACCCGCCACACATTAATACCTGCCACACGTCAACACCTGCCACATGTTAACACCTGCCACATGTCAACACCTGCCACATGTTAACACCTGCCACATGTTAAAACCTGCCACATATTAACACCTGCACATGTCAACACCTGCCACACGTCAACACCTGCCACACGTTAACACCTGCATTAACACCTGCCACATGTCAACACCAGCCACGTCAACACCTGCCATGTCAACACCTGTCACACATCATCACCTGCCAATAATCAACACCTGTCACAGTCAAATCCCAAACTGTCAACATCCGCCACATGTCAACACCTGCCACACATCAACACCTGCCACATCAACACCTGCCACATCAACACCTGTCACACATTACACCTATCACACGTCGCACGTCCACCTGTCACATGTCCACCGCACACATCAGCACCTGCCACACGTTTATAACTGCCAAATGTAAAAACCTGCCACACGCCAACACCTGCTACACGTCAACACCTGCCACACGTCAACACCTGCTACATACCATCACCTGCCACACGTCAACACCTGCTATACGTCAACACCTGCCAAACGTCAACACCTGCAACACGTAAACACCTGCCACACGTCAACACCTGCTGCACGTCAACACCTGCCACACGTCAATACCTGTTATACATTTTTACATGCCAAACATCAACATCTGCTATACATCTACACCTACCAAACATCTACACCTGCTAAACATCAACACCTGACAAACATCAACACCTACTCTACATCTACACCTACCAAACATCAACACCTGCTAAACATCTACACCTGCTAAACATCAACGCCAAACATCAACACCAGCTAAACATCTACACCTGCCAACATCACCTATATGTTGACCTGCCAATCATCAACCCGTGCCACATCAACCGTGCCACACATCAACACCTGCCACATCCTCCTGAGCAAGTGGATGAGAAAACTAGAAATAGGGCCGCGGAGGACCCCAAAAAGTGTGCTAAGACTCATTGTACTGTACAGTAGATCGCTCACTGAATTCTCCCTGGACTGCTGCTGTGTGCTTTAGCTTCAAAGGTTGAATGACAAACAAGTGTGAGAAAAGGCCTTTATTACTTATGGCGAAATATTAAGATTTTAACTTTATAATACAGTATCTTGTACTTAAGGCCATCGACCTCAATTCTAATGTAAGTAATAACTGACACACTGAATAACCATTTCTCTGGTACCTTTCATACAGCAACTGAAGGCAGCTTTAGTAAGAATATTCCTGATTCTGTTGCGTAATTATTCATAAGTGAGGACTACCAGGGGCTGAAACCAAGGGTAAGTCCGGTTTGTTGAGGAAGGTGTGCGGGCAACAGGAGGAGGCCGCCACAGTTTCAAGTTCAGTGTTGTGTGGTGCGTCGCGCGAGTCGGACCAGCCCATCTTCCCGTACTCCATCAACACGCCATCACAAAAACAACTACAGCACTATCAACACAGACTACATAACAACAGTGGCGCCGCTCACCACAACATCATCGAATCCGCTTTTTAAACCACGAGAACTTCAATCGGTCACCTCGACAAGGTCAGCCCAGTTACTCTGCTACACAGTACAGTACTCCTCTATCAGCAAGTGAGAACACAGACTTGTACTTATATTTTTAAGACAACTGAGGAGTCAAGTGAACCATTTACAGAAAAGTCACTGTGCAGATTTGGCACTCATCCTCCCCACCACTCACCCACTTCTTACTCATCCTCCCCCACTCACCCACTTCTTACTCATCCTCCCCACCCTCTACCCCTTCTTACTCATCCTCCCCACCACTCACCACTTCTTACTCATCCTTCCCACCACTCACCCACTTCTTACTCACCCCCACCCACTCACCCTATCCTCCCCACCACTCACCCTTCTTACTCATCCTCCCCACCACACACCCTTCTTACTCATCCTCCCCCACTCACCCACTTCTCATCCTCCCCCACCACTCACCCCCTTCTTATCATCCTCCCCCACTCACCCCTTCTTACTCATCCTCCCCCACTCACCCCTTCTTACTCATCCTCCCACCACTCACCCACTTCTTACTCATCTTCCCACCACTCACCCCTTCTATCATCCTCCCACCACTCACCCACTTCTTACTCATCCTCCCCACCACTCACCACTTCTTACTCATCCTCCCCACCCCTCCCACTTCTTACTCATCCTCCCCACCACTCCCCCTTTACTCATCTCCCCACCACTCACCCCCTTCTTACTCATCCTCCCCACCACTCACCCTTCTTACTCATCCTCCCCACCACTCCCCCACTTCTTACTCATCCTCCCCACCTCACCCACTTCTTACTCATCCTCCCCACCACTCACCCTTCTTATATCCTCACCACTCACCCTTCTTACTTCCTCCCCACCACCCACTTCTTCCTCCATCCTCCCCACCACTCACCCTTTCACCCTCATCCTCCCACCACTCACCCATACCTCATCTCCCCACTCACCCCACTTCTTACTCATCCCCCCCAATCACCCTTCTTACTCTCCTCCCCACCACTCCTACTTACTCATCCTCCCCACCACTCCACCCTTCTTACTCATCCTCCCGACTCACCCACTTCTACTCATCCTCCCCACGACTCACCCACTTCTCCTCATCCTCCCCACTCACCCACTTCTTCTCATCTCCCCACCACTCACCCACTTCTTACTCATCCTCCCCACCCTCACCCACTTCTTACTCATCCTCCCACGACTCACCCTTCTTACTCATCCTCCCCACTCCCCCCTTCTTATATCTCCCCCGACTCACCCTTCTTACTCATCCTCCCACCACTCACCCCTTCCTCATCCTCCCCACCCTCACCCTTCTTCTCATCCTCCCCACCACTCCACCCACTTCTTACTCATCCTCCCACCACTCACCTTCTTACTCATCCTCCCCACTCACCCCTTCTTCCTCATCCTCCCCACCCTCTCCCTTTCATCCTCCACCACTCACCCCTTCTTACTCATCCTCCCCACCACTCACCACTTCTTACTCATCCTCCCCCCTCCACCCTTCTTACTCATCTCCCCACCACTACTTCTTACTCATCCTCACCACTCACCCACTTCTTACTCATCCCCCACCACTCACCCACTTCTTACTCATCCTCCACCACTCACCCACTTCTTACTCATCCTCCCCACCACTCACCCACTTCTTACTCATCCTCCCCACCCACTCCCTTCTTCTCATCCTCCCCCCTCACCCTTCTTACTCATCCTCCCCACCACTCACCCCTTCTTACTCATTCCCCCCCTCCCACTCACTCCCCACCACCTTCTTACTCATCCTCCCACACTCCCCCTCACCCACTTCTACTCATCCTCCCCACCACTCACCCTTCTTACTCCTTCCCCACCCTCACCACTTCTTACTCATCCTCCCCACCTCACCCTCCTCATCCTCCCCACACTCACCCCACTTCTTACTCATCCTCACCACTCACCCCTACCTCATCCTCCACTCACCCACTTCTTACTCATCTCCCCACCACTCACCCTTCTTCTCATCCTCCCCACCACTCACCCACTTCTTACTCATCCTCCCCCACCACTCACCCTTCTTCTCATCTCCCTACCACATTCTTCCCACCACTCACCCACTTCACTCATCTTCCCACCACTCCACTTCCCTTCTCCCCCCACCACTCACCCACCTTTTACTCATCCTCCCCCACTCACCCACTTCTTACTCATCCTCCCACCACTCACCCACTTCTTACTCATCCTCCCACGACTCACCCTAGTTACTATCCTTCCACGACCCAACTCACCCACACGTTCTAGTACTACAAAAAAGCACGTCTTTGTGTGTTAATTATGTTCCAGGAAT